TCTTTCTATCTATTAATCTGTCTGTCATCTCTCTATCTTGTCTGTCTGTCATCTCTATCTTGTCTGTCTCTTTCTCTTTGTTTTTTTGTCTGTCTGTCTGTCTTTTCTTTTCATCTATCTGTCTGTCTGTCTATCTATCTATCTATCTATCTATCTGTCTATCTGTCTGTCTGTATCTATCTATCTGTCTGTCTGTCTGTCTATCTCTCTATCTGTCTGTCTGTCGGTCTCTATCTGTCTGTCTATCTGTCTGTCTGTCTGTCTATCTGATACTGCTGATGCTGAAAAATTCACAATTTCCGACAGAAAAACTAATAGTAGAAGACAAATAGCAGAACACAATGATGCACTAAATGGAGTTTGCATTGGCGTACTTGCGTAGAGTTAGTTTGGGGCTGGATGCACCTGAACATGAGCACCTGTATGTGAAGGAGGTAGAGCACCATCTAGAGAGTCCAGGTCGGCCTTTTCATCGTTTGCTAACAAGATCAACCTTGTCTGGCTCTTTATCTATTCGAGATCGATCGTACAATTCACAAGGACTCTGCCCGAGACTTTGTGCATGTTTGAATGGAAGAAAACAGAAACCACAACAGATAAAACACAACAGCAGTCTCTCAAAACACAGGGATGGAGCGACGTCCCGGGCTGGAGACGCGCTCGTTCTTCAGGTGGGTTTTAGAGACGTCCCAGGACCGTTGCAGTCGCTCAGATCGCCGCTGCTCTGATTTGAGGATCAGGACCGTTTTTAGTCCTTCAGTGATTTCACAGGAAGCAAACAGGACCCACTTCCACGTGCCGCTGGTCTCCTGGACGCGAGGGATGGACACCTTGAATGTCCACGATGGGAAGTTGCTGAGTGTCCTGGGTTTGAAACAGGAATCGCGACTGATGCCAGCTGCCGTCACGGATCTGTTCGGAGAAACAGGCAAAATTGCATTATTACGAGAAAGAAAAAAAACACGGATAAAGTCTATGTTTTTAAATTACACCCTTAAAAATATTAGGTCTAGATTTAAGATTTATGCATTTGAATTGCATGTAAAATTTCAATGCGTTAGAATCACACAAACTAATAAACTTCATGTGATTTATATTCGCCAGTCATGCATAAATGAATCAGATTTCTGCACTCAAAATTCACGTCAGTGTATGTTTAACTATTTGATTTTTATTTAAATAATCATATTTTCAAAGTGCATTTATTAGAATCAGCATATCTGTTCAGTGTGAAAACAATTACATGTATTCAGTTAAAAGTAAAATATGGATAGCTGTGAAACAAGGAATACTGAAGAAGTTCAAATATATAAGATTGAAACAAATTGGACTTATTGGTGATCAATATATAAACTTGGTTATTGTGTGTTTAAAACACAAATCTGACTTTGTTTGATTTATTTATGACTGATAAATATAAATAACTAAGTTTATTAGGCTGTTTATGGTAAAACTGTATAATCCAAATGGATGGAAATTTTATATGCAATTCAAATACATCAATCTTAACATTTTTTTGAGTGTATATTCAGAAAAAAATGTAATATACCGGTAAATAAAACAAGTGCTATAAACACTATAAACATGTATTTTAGACACTAGTGCTTTAAAATGAATGATATCCAGAACAGATTATTACAAATGATAGCGGCTTTAATTTTAAATTAATATTTAAATGTGATTACATTTTAAAAGATCAATTACATTGTTAAAGTTTTATGAATTAATTTAATTATTGTTGATGATGAATTTAAATCATTAAACACAACCTAAATTAAAAAAAAAAAAAAAAGACTGAAAACATCAAATTTGGGAAAAAATAAAACAGATTTCATGGGGCCCTAAATTAAAAGGTAGCTGACAAATTATGTTTACATTCATTTTTGAGGTCTAACAAACATGTTGAATGTTTTCCCTTCCCGTTAATGCTATGAAATAAATATTGTAATTGATATCGAATGTGATCATATTTTTGGCCATATCGTCAGCAAGTCTGAATATGCACAAATAAGAGATCTGAGAGCTGGTTTCTGGTCTAGTTCTCAAACAAAGCTATGATATGACTTCTAAAGACTTATAAATAACTATAAAGTCATATTGAGTATTCTTATTTTCTTGATGGTGTTTTTCTGTCTTTTTTGGAGCTCTGCCGCAGCATGAACATCGTTTATCTCCCACAGAAGAGTCACAGCATGAGACATGAGAAAATGATGAATTTGAACCTTACAAGCCCAGAACTACTAACCACACTAAACCCAGTCCTGAATCACATTTACCCTGGTCCTTAAAGAGACGGTTCACCCAAAAGTCAAAATTAGCTGTTAATTTACTCACCCTCAGGCCTAAGATGTAGGTGACTTTTTTTCTTGAGTAGAACAGAAAAGACGCTTTTTCAGCTGAAACGTCTGATTCATAAAAGGCAAGCCAATGGATACCGTCACTTTGAGAATCAAAAAAAGCATATCAGGCAACACAAAATGAATCCCCGTGGTTCCTGATGATATATTGAGGTCTTATGAAGCGAAATGATCAGTCTGTGCAAGAACCTGATCATTATTTACTTTATTACCTGTAATCCAGAGCCTCAGGCAAACGGAGAAATCTGATTCTGATCTGATTCTTTCGAACAGTTCGTTTCAATGAACTGGTTCAATTCACTAGTTCATTAACATAATCACGCAGTGATGTAAATTATACGCGATTATATTAATAAAGCACCCAATAATAATGTGAAACGTGGATGTTTTACACGTCTAAAGCATATAAACAGAATAAACTAGTCTGCATCAGCTCACCTTTGTACATAAACAATGGGAAATCCTAATAACATTAATTAGGCCCTTCATTCAAGTGTTTGGTTCACTCGTGAACAGTCTGAGTCGAACTGTTTCCTCAGTTCAGTGACTGCTGAATGATTCATTCATCACAGGATCAGATGCGCTGGTATTTCGGCTCATTTTGACTGAGTAACTTGTAGATCTGTGCTGCTTGAGCCACAAACTGTTTCAGATGATTCAGTCCGATTTGGTGAACTGATTCAACTAGTTCACCAAAAA